ACTGTCTCAGATACAGGCACATCTCCAGTAAATACACGTACCGTACTGCCGGCAATATAAACACACTTCCTCTAGGAAAAAACAATACTGTACTGTCTCAGATACCGGCACATCTCCAGTAAATACACATACCGTATGATCTCCAATGCTCGCACACCCACTCTATGAAATACACATATTGTACATTTTCCAATACTCTAGACTTGCCACATTTTCTAGACTTGCATGGGCTTTCTGGGAAAAATTTGCTTCAGGGTCTGTGTGACAGACTACCACACCCATTCTTGGTACATATATCAGTAAATATACATGAATATGCACTGAATTGTACCACATATATTCTAAATATATTAGAGATTTCTTATGATTATGGAAATGGATTTCATCAATTTTACTTATTAATGATTGCATGATTACCTGTTCAGGAAATAAAGTATGTTCATGTGTCCACCTGTATCGTAGGGGGTTTCGGGAAAACCTAGTTGTAAAGTGTTTTGTTGTTGCTGATAATCTGTGTTTTAATCTCTACATGGGAACATTTTTGGTATTTACTGCTTTGGTATTGCTGGAATATTGTCAGAAAAAGCATAAACCCATGAAGATGCAGGATGGAATTGGTTTTCAGCAACCAATGCTTGTCAAAAAGGGCGCGACTAACGGGACCGGGTGGTCAGGCTCTCTGACTTGGTTGACATATGTTATCATATCCATCATTTTATGCGCTTTGAGCATGCACCTTGTGGATAAAATACTCATTATTATTATTATATCCCAACTGCATGGATTGATGCTCATGCTTTTTATCAGACTTGATTATTTACCAACTGCAGCAATATAGCCATATTGCATTAAACAACAAACAAAAAATGCATAAAACCATAATCACTCACTCACTCACTCACTTACTCACCTTTATTTAAACTACCAATACATGACGCCACTACATTTCAAAAGAAAAAATACAGTTTTGTAATTAACACAAATCCTGTACTTTTACCACTCAGAAAGCTGCTAAATGGATGACATTTGCATACCAGTCTTTCATGGAGACTCTACTGTAAATAGAAGTATTGAGGAACATGTCGTCTTGGCCATGTCCCAGCCATGTGCTACAACAAGGCAAATACCAGGTAGCCCCAGTCTAAAGAATGGGTGGAGTGTACATGGAGGGGACATATGTTCACACTGGGTTGTCTCCCCTTCCTGGAACAGTATGCAGGGCTAGAATGTTGCAGGTTGCTGGCACAGCTGGTGTACAGACACAGGGTGTAGTTTACATGTTGGGAGAAGATGATTAGATCTTATGTTAAAAAGGGTTTAGCTAAGTTTCTTGCTGTAATTGATAGTTTGAACTAAGTGACTGAGCTGGTTGGTTGAAAGAGCGAGGTAATATTTTATCTTATTTTCATAATGGTAAGGTTATTTTGTGAAAGATGGGGTAATATTTCTTATTGTTTTCCAAATGTTGACGATACGACCTGAAAGGTTGAAGTGAAACTTCATACTTTTTTTCAAATGGTGATATTATTCTTTGAAAGATTAGAGTTATGCTTTATACTGTGTACAAAATATGGATATTATTGGTTGGAAGACTGGCTTAAGATTGCACACTATTTTCTAAATGTGGATGTTATTGGTTGAAAGATTGAAGCAAGACATCATACTGTTTTTCAAGAGGTTATGTTATTTGTTGATAATCAGGTTTATATTCAGCTTCTGTAATACTTTGCTACTTTTGATGGAAATGTGACACATATACATTCATTATTCATTTCAGTTCATTTATCAGTTTATTGGTAGGGTTACAGCAAGTCTATAACAGGACTGCTCTTTATCAGATCAGGGTTTGCTTGCCATTCTACATTCTCTGGTCCAATGAGTTTCGACAAACAGATGTATTTTATTGACTACTATAATCTCCAAATTGGTCATCATCCCCTTGAAGGGCAGGTCTAGTTATTTCTGAGACTTACACTGTTCACTCAGGTTTGTATACAATGAGTTACATGTTTACCTGGTTTCTCTACATGCCTCAAATTAGAGTAATTTGGTGTCGGAGGAGACTCAAATTGTCTTCACAGTGAAAAGGCGGGGATGATTTCTCAGCAAGGGGGTGCTAATCTGTCCTGGTGTATACTAGGTCGGGGTACCAAGTCCTCCGACAGGGCGATGGTATGTCACTGTTTGTCAGACAATACTCTGGAATTCTGGGAACAATGTCGAGGATGTCCTGCACAATCCATGGTGTCAGGTTACCTGCTGACCAGGCAGGGTAGGACTCCGAAGTTTTTCCACAATACGTCTGCACAATAGGAAGCAGTTATTGTGTCGGAGGTCGGTCATTTAACTCCCCACAACTAGTGATTTCACCCTTGACACATCTTCGTCCCGGCAGGGTGGGAGTGAACTAGACCCAGCTATGTGGTAGGTCAGGAATAGCGACCACTCATCTGGATAAAAAGGGCAAGACCCTAAACCCAAATTTCAAGCAGACGTGCTTATTACTGAGGGCTGATCCTTGTGATTTACTTACCGTCTAGCTAAGACAATACTTCTACAGCCATTGTTGGGGGATCCATATCCGATTCTCATTACAGTAGTGCATTAATATCAATATTCAGTCAACAACTGTTTTCAGGGATAACATGTCTTGATCATTAACTTTTCAAAAGGGGTAGTTTTTGGCCATTAAATTTCACGCTAGAAAGACTAGTTGAAAAGGTGGGTCTGTGTGTGGGTTTTGGGAGGGTGGGTTCAGGCAGGGTGCAGTCAGTTGTGAGGAACACATCTTCAGGTGGCCAGCTGGAACACCTGAAATAATGTATAGGGTCACTGTGTGTGTCTGTCGAGTAGGGAGGTGACATGTTCAGCCATCCATTCAGCCACCCATACAGCCTTCTTTCCATCCATCAGTTAGAAACACACACACGCCCATGCCTGCATGCATGAACACACACACATACATTAACTTATACATGTAGGTGCCAACTGCTCTTGAATCAACTAAAAATAAGTATTATCAAACATTACAATAAGTTGATAAGGTTCTACTGTGGATGCCCCGTTTCTCTGCTGCCATAAAGCTTGTACCTACTGCTCAGTGTGCCCTGGCTTGCCGGCGATTGAGGAGGGGTGATTGAGGAGGGTCCCAAAGGCACAGTTGATAGCCAGCTGTATCACTGAAGAAACAATACATGAAAGTTCTCCTTTCAAGTTGATTGTATACAAACATTCCTTAATTCCCTCAGATCTGTCATTTCATAATCTGAAATTGAGAATGAGAATGAGATTTTAAATTCTAATTATTGTACAAACAGTGTTTTTGTATATTTTCATATGCAAGTAATTGATGTATAAGGTTATGTCAGATTTTTTAATTGCTGACAAAGTCAACGATAGTCTTCTTGACATCATTTAAGAATGACTTGTGAAACATCTTGAATGTTCATTTTCCGCTTATGCATAAAACTGTCTCTAAATGGAAATTGGAATAAACTCAGCTTTGTGTATGAACACCTGCAATTGTGGAGGATTATTCATAACAATTTTCAAATCCATTATTCATCTGCAAGTAACACAACACAGGGAACAACACTGGGGATCCGTAGTTCACCAACACCAATTGTTTTCTGAAAATATTTTCTTCTTGTATTGGCTAAGAATAAGTATTTTAAACCATAACTGTAGGACACACCCATATATATTGTTACCTGCAGATTAGATTTTTAGCTGCATACAAGTAAGTATTGTTGCTGTGTGTGAGGCTTTATGGGATAATAACTATATCCAGGTGTAGTGATGGGGCCCCTCCTGTGTCTCTGACTCACACTGGCAGCCATCGCCTTCCTTATTGTTGGATGACTGAGTTCTGTCAACCACTCCGGAAAAATATTTGATTCAGTTTGATATCTGTAAATAAAGAATTTCAATAAAATGCATGATGTGCAATGCACTGGACCAGAAGAGCCCAAATTCCAAGGGGTAAAGTATTTCCGATATGTAGGGTGCTGATTTGCTCACCTGTGTCAGATTGGGATTCTCATCTGCAGGTAGAGACGTACAGGTATATATGTAGGATTGTGTTACATCTGGAATTGTATTGCATTATAGATACCTGATAATGTTGTAAGCCATTTTACATGTGGTGGTGTCATTTAAATGTGATGCCTCGTTTAAAATTTATGACCTTGTTTTTCTGACTTCCTTAACCATGTGTGTTTGTGGCAGATGGATGCTATGTTATAAAATTGTTATACAGTTGAATAATGTTGCTGAGATAAGTGAATACCAGTTGAACTGAACATAATGTGGGTATCCACTGTTCTTGGTCCAGGCTGCCTTTAGTTCAGGAGTAGAGGACGTAACAGGTGTCAGGTTGTCAGATGTGAGACACTTGTGATCCAAAGCTGAGCATGTTTCTCCATCTCTATGTTAGTATTTGCAATGAGTTACTTTTGATTCTTCAGCATAATCATGCCAAAGACCAGGGTTCAATTCCCCACATGGGTACTATGTGTGAACTCCATTTCTGGTGTCCCTGCCATGATATTGCTAAAAGTGGCGTAAACCTAAAACAGCATAATTAGCTATTCCTTTTGTGTTGAGCTTCAGACACATACTTTTTGTCCAGTTTGTGTGACTGGTGATGTCAACAGGGCTGAGCATGCTTGTTGTTTTCATCAACACCTGGTGTCCCCACATATTTTGAGTGATTATGTCCAATGAAATTTTGTTAATTGGATTATTGAGACTGGTTAATCTCCCTTCATTGACATTTTACATCTAAAGCCTTTTCATAATCTTTAAGTTTTCCTGTTAACAAATAATTCATTAAGCTAAACTCTTGTAATATCCATTTTTAGAAATGTTTCATGTGTTGTGAAGGCAGCTGAACCTAGAGTAATGGAACAACTGTTTTAATCAGGCTACCTGGCCATACAGGTTGAATAAGAATCAACATTTATGAAGCCTTTGTTTCAAATTTACTCTTTTATTTGCAGAAAATTCACAGAAAATTCGCCGAGGTACCGGGGTGAGTCGTCCCCCAAGCAGTCACATCACTCGCGTTGATGAGGAGCCGACCACCTCCGACTCTAGCAGGGCCAAGTCGCAATCGGTCGAGACTGTCGACCGTGGAGTAGGCCCCACACCCTTGCCTCCCCCCAATGTAGAACCCCGGATACCATCCTACATTGGAGCACTACCACCCTATGTGGATCCCCGGAATGGACTAGTTGATTCACCCTACGGTAGGTGTCCATGGTTAGATATGTATTCATGGAGTTTGTGTTGTCACAGCTGGACGCAGCTCTGTTCATCCATTATATGTGATGTTTGAGACATACAAATCAAATTCATTACATCTGTCCACATTGAGGGAATAGATTTGAACAACACTAAAATCTAGTTTAGAATAAATTCTGGCAGTTTGTTGTTGTGTAATAAGATGCTTAAATTAGTGTTCACTAGGGAGTTGATGGAAACTGGAAAAAGACAGTTGCAAAGTGGCAGGGTACCCTAAGAGTGTGTCACATACCAAAATTGGGTGACTAGCTGGAACCTACTATACAACAGTCATACATTCTCAGGGTACAGCAAGAAGGCTTCACATGTCACATACCATCATTGTCAGGGTACAGCAAGAAGGCTTCACATGTCACATACCATCATTGTCAGGGTACAGCAAGAAGGCTTCACATGTCACATACCATCATTGTCAGGGTACAGCAAGAAGGCTTCACATGTCACATACCATCATTGTCAGGGTACAGCAAGAAGGCTTCACATGTCACATACCATCATTGTCAGGGTACAGCAAGAAGGCTTCACATGTCACATACCATCATTGTCAGGGTACAGCAAGAAGGCTTCACATGTCACATACCATCATTGTCAGGGTACAGCAAGAAGGCTTCACATGTCACATACCATCATTGTCAGGGTACAGCAAGAACATACACAACCAATGTGAGTCAAACCAGAACCAGTGTGGCAAACTGATACTGTACCCTCTGGGCTGAATACCATCACTGTATACAAAACCTAGACAATATGACTGAAGGCTTACTATTGTGCAACAGCATCTCTCTTACAACATAAAGCAAAGTACTCTATAGATATAGCGAATGATATAGATGAGGCACTCGTAAGTGCCTTGGTCAAGTTAGAACTGTTCCCACCTTGGTCATGTTTTAAAATCTTTTTCACCTTGGTCAAGTATTGAAATCGTTTTCACCTTTCAAGTATTCAAATTGTTTTCAAAAGTAGAGAAGGAATTGCAAGTTAAGTATTAAAATTGTTTTCACCTTGGTCAAGTTTTAAGATCGGTTTCACTTTTCAAGTATTAAAATCGGTTTCAAAAGCAAAGAAGGAATTGCATTGTCCTCAAAACGTCTTTGTCACTTGGTGTGGCAAGAGCTGCCTGCAAGGTGCCTGACTTACATGTGCTACACCAGGCATGTCTCGAACCCAGCAGTGTGTCCAGAGTCCTTGCTGGAAGAGAGATTTCCAGTCAGAAATGTCAACTGCTACATGCATCTTGTAAACTTAGGTGATGTCTGTGGGAATGTTTAGACCAACTTGTTCCTGGAAGAACTAATATTATGAATGCCAGCAGGATAAGTGATGGTCTGTGTTTATAGGAAGGCATGGGAATATTCCAGATCTCTACATGTATGTGCAAGGTTTAGCATGATGTAAAGTCTTTCAGAAATTACTCATATGTGTCCCGGATAATTATAAACTTTTTTGTAAATATGTATCTCTGATGTTTGAATAAGCCTGTGTCTCAGAGATTACCTGCCCTTCTGTGAATATGTCCATTTTTCTGTGTTGTCTGCTCGTGACTAAAACAAGAATATTAACTTAAAAATGTCCAAGTAGTCCTAATTACCAATATATAGAGAATACTAAACGACCTTCCGTGTAATACCAATTTTATCAAACAAGTTAATGATTTGGTATCAAACGAGCGAGAACAAATTTGATACTAAATCTTTCACGGGTTTAATAAAAATGGTATTTCACGGAAGCGAGTTTAGTATTCTGTTTATTACTCTCCAACATAAATTGATAGAAACTGCCTACAGTGTGATGACTCCCATATCAATTTTCCATGAGTCAAGCAAGGTCTAATACCATTGCGACAGAGGCATTAGCATTGTGACGTCATAACTGTAACCATTATGATGTCTAGCGGTATTACACTAGTGAAAAAATATTACGCTGCAGTATCTTCCATGGGCGAGTAATAAATTAGGAATAACAAATCACTTTGAAATTCTTACATAACTGAGGGACAGAATACAGTCATTTTTAAAAAAATGTCGACATTGATCTTCATCAAGGATATAATGAAAAAGAATGAAAAAGTGTACTTCGTGCTTGATGTTTGCATTTTATATTGGTACACGTTGTATCTTTATGACCTAGTTATTAACTGCCCGACATGCTGCTGATAACTGCCTTGACGTGTTGCTGAAACTTGGATATAATTCTGTTAACGCCAAGTCACAAAAAACTCTTTGTGGCCTCTGGTGAACACTACATTTGAATATTGTTATTATCCCCTAACAATGTGATGATAAGTGCCTGTTTTGCCTGCAGTTTCCTGAGACTAGGGAAACCCTTGTTATGACTGACAATATGCCCACAGTGAAACGGTGCAAGTGTTTCAGATCTGCTAACAATGGCTGATTTGGGCTTTACCTCATTCCTTGGTCTCGTAATGCCCTAGGTGTATAAACAGTTTATCCTACACTTGCACATTGTTGATGTGCCTTTACTGCCGGTGTATGAGTGGGGAATATTGTTTGAGTGATGAAACTATTAGAGTATTAGACGGAAGTGTGAAGTATTTGTGTTTACGTTTGCATTATAGCACATTAAAGTGTTATTTGGGTGCAGTTTAATCAGTTGAAATTTTTTACATAAAAAATCGGGTTCATGATAGTATTTTCTTCTCCATCAAGCTTCATCTCATGCCAAAACTACCTCTATTACACTTAACAAAGTTTATGTCAAAACAAATATAATAATGTATGTTTTGGCACGCTTTACAAGTGTCACTTTAATTCAGTTTTGAATATAGTTCTGGATTAGACCAGTACCTTAGGGAAGTTGTACATCTTGAGGTGGACCCTGGTACCTACGGGACTACCTAGGTTGTACTCAGTCAAGTTGGATGTTGTATAATGGCTGCAAGAATACTACCTAGGTTGTACTCAGTCAAGTTGGATGTTGTATAATGGCTGCAAGAATACTACCTAGGTTGTACTCAGTCAAGTTGGATGTTGTATAATGGCTGCAAGAATACTACCTAGGTTGTACTCAGTCAAGTTGGATGTTGTATAATGGCTGCAAGAATACTACCTAGGTTGTACTCAGTCAAGTTGGATGTTGTATAATGGCTGCAAGAATACTACCTAGGTTGTACTCAGTCAAGTTGGAAGTTGTATAATGGCTGCAAGAATACTACCTAGGTTGTACTCAGTCAAGTTGGATGTTGTATAATGGCTGCAAGAATGCTACCTAGGTTGTACTCAGTCGAGTTGGATGTTGTGTAATGGCTGCAAGAATACTACCTAGGTTGTACTCAGTAGTTTACACCCAAAGGATCCACAGAGCAATCAAAGCACTACAATTGTCTTAAAGCGTGAGTGAGTTGGGTTTTACACCGCTTTTAGCAATATTCCAGCAATATCATGGTGAGGGAGACCAGAAATTGGCTGAATACATTGTACCCATGTGGGGAATCGAACCCGTGTCTTGACGAGGCCACTGGGCTACCACTGGGCTACCCAATAGCCCAATTTTGGAAGAGGGGCTTTACATTACCATATATGACCGTAGATAACCCTAACTTGACCCTTACAATCAGAATGAAAATGGTATTTTCCATACATAAGCCGAACCACCAATCTTTGTTCATCCTCTCGTTGCATTCAGTCTTTGGAAATAGAGAGTCAACCAGATTTATATTGAATTACACAAGTAACTCCTGTTGTTACCCTATCTAACAATATAACATGTCCTTTGCTATCTGTACTTACGTTCGTAATCTAGTTTATTACGTTTACTTAAATATCATTCAGTAATGTTTATATCAATTCCAGCGAAATTTGTGTTCATCCATAACATACAATTTCCGTTTTACCTTATTGAAAGCAACCACAATCACATTGCACCCAAAGCAGTACACATGTAATACCTACATTGATATAGGATTTCTACCTACCTCATTTTGACATGCAGGGATATTATTGCAATACTGTTTTAAACCCATATCAATCACTCACTCACTCACTGATGAGCACTGGATTCTTGTACTGTTTACATGGAATACTGTTTGAGATTATTTGAGAATGTACAATATGGTGATTCAGATATTATGATGTTTCTGTTGATTTAATTTCATCTGTATTTGATGTATATACAAATCTGGATAACTCCAATGTTTTAATTCCTGTTCCAGGATACCCCTACAGTCACGTGCCATACCCTATAAATGCACCCCTCCCCATCAACGTGTCCACATTGGAAGGAAGATACCACTGGCCACCCGCAAGTCCATATCATCAGCCTCTACCAGGGTAAGACTGTAGACCTGCTGGCAATATTACAACTATGTGACGATCAATATGATTCAATAATCAAATATGATTCAGACAATCCAGTGAGTGATATTATACAATTATTGACTTCTAGTGAGGTTGGACCTCGGCGGATATGACATGTCCAAGGTCGATAAATCATTGGATCAACCGAACTGAAGTCAATAATTGTTTTATTATATGGGGGCGGTGTGGTAGCCAAGTGGTTAAAGCGTTGGCTCGTCACGCCGAAGACCTGGGTTCGAATACCCACATGGGCACAATGTGTGAAGCCCATTTCTGGTGTCCCCCGCCGTGATGCTGCTGGAATATTGCTGAAAGCGGCGTAAAACCAAACTCAATCAGTCAGTCAGTTTTATTATATGACAAAGGTACTGAATACCTGTTCTTCTGTGACATAGACGATGTATTTCCTCTTCTGACACAGTCATGAATATTCGTGGTGTCGTGTTGTCTGCCATTTTGATACAGATGGGACGTAACTCTAAACCAACACAGTCACAGGGAAATCTACCCATCATATAATAATATAAACAACCATCCACTCTGTCAGGGTACAATGCCTTGCAGTATATGAACTCATACAACCATTGATGGTTTGGGATGACTGCTGGTGATTCAACTATGTGATGATTACCTGCGTATAATCCAATCTGATTCAGACAGTCCAGTGAGTGATATTATGGCCAACCATCCTCTCTGTCAGGGTACAATACCTTGCAGTATATGAAGTCATACAACCATTGATGGTTTGGGATGACTGCTGGTGATTCAACTATGTGATGATTACCTGCGTATAATCCAATCTGATTCAGACAGTCCAGTGAGTGATATTATAGACAACCATCCTCTCTCAGGGAAATATCATACAACCATTGATGGCTTCTTGTGACAAACCAGAGGAATCCACTCAGGAAATATTCCTGGGACAACCAGAGGATGTGTGGGTTGTACACGTGGTTATATCGCTGGTATCTCTCACTTCCAATATTCTGAACATGTTCCCTTAACAATTGTCATGCCAAAATCATTAACATTACTTGGTGAAGAACATATCAGTCTCTCCTCCTTTGATAGGAATTCCATCATTTGTTGGTCCTCAAGTTTAAAAACTGCATTTGTCATTTCAGAAAAATATTTCTAGATCCTTAATGTGATAATGTTTTTAAATTGCAAATATAGGTCTAACATAAGTAAAGTTATATTGTGTTTGAGTTTTAATTTATTTGAGCTGTTTTTGGAACAAGCATGAGTTTAGGAGTCATCTGTGTTTCTGATCAATCTGTGTTTCTTGACAGAAAAAGTCGTGAAGAGATCATCAGAGATGCAATATAATTATAAATGCAGCTGAAGATGTGTTTGAAACATTTGTCTAAAAAGAGCATAATAAAATGTATTTATATCTCCTTAACTGTTTTTCAGCCAAATTATTTTTACCTCAGAACAAACTTTGATTTTATTGAAATGCCATCTTGACAACCATCGCCATGCAGTAAGAGGGCTGATATTCAGCCCTTGTTGAATAAAGGATTGTTTGTTAAAAACTTACAGTATGTTGTGTCTTGTGTTAGGTGAATTAGGCTAAGTTGATGTGGATTTATGTTAACATGGTTATCTCCCTTAGCAGGTTACAAGCGACCAGTCCTGCCCAATCAGATATTTCATTGCTTAGTATGCGAAGTCACCTTATGAACGGGGAAACAGTCACTCACCTGGCGTCTCGTATACACTGGGAGCAGCTTCAACGCAACTTTTACCAGAGTCCTTTCTCAGGACGAAGATTCAGCCCAGCTAGTCTACCTGGTGAGTGAGTGAGTGAGTGAGGTATTGACTGATACACTATCAGCATCAGCTGTTTATGGTTCGTCTACCAGGTGAGTGAGAGAATGAGTCAGTTATTTATTGTTCGACTGTTATCAGGATTAGCTGTTTATGATATGGCTTCCTTTGAGTGAGTGAGTGAGTCAAGTTTTGCTTCATGCCCCATCAGCATTATATGACTAGTCTACCTGTTGAGTGAGTGAGTGAATAAATAAACGTTTTCCCCTAAACAATGTCAAAGGGATATTATTTTGACATGTGTTGTGTGTATTCAGGTCTACCTCTACCCGGCTCAGGGTCCTTCAGTGAATACCCACCACCATCGTTCAGCCAGCGGAGTTTTTTCTCAGAGATCCCCCCAACCCCAGGAAGTGGGAGCATCACACTTCCAGGATCTCTAGAGAGTGAGTTCCACCACCACAAAATGGCCTTCTACCTTCAAGACAATGCCTAACTTGTGAATTCTCCATACTGACAAATCTATTTGTCTGTATTTTGTCAAATACATCACACAAACCTATGGCTTTAATGATGTTTGGATGAATTGGTTTTCAAATTTTGCAAATAATATTTTTAAAACATGAATATCGCTTCGTACTAATAAATTATAAACTCTGGTGTCAATATATATACACTTTTGGTACCTACTGTCCCAAGCCAGATCTAAAAAGAAAAGTTAATTTCTGTTGATTAGATATTTCTTAGTTTAGAAATACATTTGATTGAAGTTCATACTATCTTGTAAAATATTTGTCAGGATCTTTGTTTGCAGTGATTAAGTTTTACAGATTGTTTCAGTATGATATGTTTGTGGAGGAAATGCACAAAACAAGGTGATCCAAGTGTTGACTGACTCCTGTTAGAAGCGTTACTTAGGGACAGATGCCAAGTGATAACCAGGAATTCTAGAGGATTTGACAAGTAGTAATATGTAATATGTTTTTTTTTGCCAAGAGAAATTGTACTATCTTGTCTGGATCTTATCTTTTTTGAATGACAAAATTGTCATAAAACATTATCCATCTTTTCAGGTTCTCGTCTAACGAGTCCACGGCCTAGCATCGGTGGGGCAAGGAATCGGAAAAGAGCTTTATCGCAATCCCCGATCTCTGACTATCTAGACATTCAGAGTTTAACTCGAAGTTCTGAAGGATCCCTCCAACTGACTCCCTTCCTGCATCACAATTCACGGAGTTCCAGTGCTGCAAGTGGCTCCTATGGCCATCTCTCTGCAGGTGGGGCATACGCTACATATTGACCAGGTTATATAAATTATATCAAGGGTGAAATTAATTCATAGGTTTCAAATATAAATAATCATTGTAACAGATGTTCAACCATGTTTTTTACAGATAATACCTGTGGGGAAATGTTGCCTTTTGATAATTTGCAATTTCTATTTTATTTATTTTTGGTTTCATGTGAAGTTGAACTTAGGTGAAAATGTTTCTGGAATATTTCTTGATGAAACTTGGTATTCAGATCAGTCTAGTGGTAAACTGGTGCTTTTGATGATTTGGGATATAAATAAATACTTTTCTAAACAGTATCTTCTTTTTCTTATCCAATGGCAATGAACCAGAAGTGGATATAAGTAACCAACTTCAATTTGTGATGGGGATATGTCATCTCCTGATGTCAGTTGTTACAACAGGTGCTTGTTGAATGTTTTCTCCAGTGTATGAGCTAGTGTCAACAATACAACAAATGTTGTGACTTGACTATTTTCATCCGTTTAACCCTTGTGTATCTGTGTTCCAGCCTCCTTAGGGGCTGCTAGCCCTGCCCACCAAACGATACCACAGAATCCATATCTCCGCCATGGGAGTCTACCTGGCTCCCCCTTCTTCTACCCCTCAGTGATGCCTCCCATGGTGGGGCGGGTCCCCCCTCATGGACACACCATCCTTCCCCCATCATCACAGTCACTCATACCACCATCCAAGTTTGACCCCCAGGTAAACACTCAACAACTAATATATTCATTATACTGTGATGGTTAATACAAAGTGTCAAGTCCCATGAAGTTACAGCCACTATCACATTGTCCTGCATTACTGCGGCCATGTCTCTCAGCCACTGTAGGGGCTGGGGTAGCCTAGTGGTAAAATGTTCGCTGGTCACGCCAAAGGCCCGGGTTCGATACCCCAGATGGGTACAATGTGTGAAGCCCATTTCTGGTATCCCCCACAGCTATATTGCTGGAATATTGCTAAAAGCGGCGTAAAACCCAACTCACTCACTCAGCCATTGTAAGCCTTTATAACATCAATCCAACCATGCTGATATATGGTTTCAGAAATGGTAGTCAGATGTGTCAATCACATTTTTAGCAGTCCTTTCCTTGGATAGTACCAAATTTACCTGCTCTGCATATGATACCACTCAAAACAACATAAGCAACAACAGTCGGAAGGCTATGTATAGTAGTACCCATCAGCCAGGATAGATTATGTATGGTCATGGAAAGGTACCTTTATTTTTCTTTACCTTATTTTGAGTAGTATATAATGTCGTGTTAAGTATCCAGATGTGGTTATAACGAATGCTGAACAAAATATCGTTTGTGAACAGTCTCAGATCTCGACGACAGCAGCTCGCGATGCCGGCAGCAGCGTTGTCAGCAGCACCATGGATCCGTCCTCCGAGGCACGCAAGTCCAAGATCAAGAAGGAGGTGGAGTACCATGGTAAGAGTTACTCACAGAATGATTTACACAAGTGAGATATGTTGGAATTCAATCAGTCAGTTCACCAAGTCTGACCATCAGATCCATCTTGTCACCAACCAGCATAGGCTCAGATTTGTACCCGACCGCCTCCGTAGTGTAGTGGTTAGAGCGTCCGCACGGAGAGTGGAAGGTCGCGGGTTCGATCCCCGACCACGTCATACTAAAAGACGTTAAAATATGGTACTTGTCGGTCCCTGCCTGGCGCGGCATTAATGGGTACAACGGGGACTGGTCGGCTCGGAGTCAGTATAATGTGTCTGAGTGGGGTCTTCATGCTTCACTGCGGCATGGTATCTCGGTGGGCTAGCACTATAAAACCAGCTTAAGTCTGGGCTAGTACAAGCAGCCGCACATACACACGCATGCACGTCGTCATATGAGCGAAATATTCTCAAGCACGACGTTAAACCCAATTTCACCTCACCTCACCTCATATTTGTACCCAGGAGGTAGAACAGAGGTGAGCAATAGGCCACACTTGGACCTCCATGGCAGGCTCTTGTTAGGAAACAGTGATTATCAACAGTCATTGCAGCAACTTGATCACCGTTCCAGTCTTTTATGACTGTCCACCTTTAATTTCAATGATTTCTTGACACATGCCATCGTATCCCAACTGCATAGATTGATGCCCATGATGTTGATCACTGGATTGTCTGGTCCAGACTCAATTATTTACAGACTGCCGCCATATAGCTGGAATATTACTTAGTGCAATGTTAAACAACAAGCAGACAAACAAAACTGACTACCTTTGTGTAGTGCCCAAAGAATGGAAAGTTCATGGTTCAATCCCCAAAAATGTCTTACCAGAAAACATTAAGAGATAGTTCCTATTGCCATGCTTTAAAGGACAAAACAAGATCTGTCGGCTCCGTGTCAGTTTACCCTATCAAACTGTGGCATATCAGTTAGATAGCACTGTAAAACCAGCATTGTTCCGGACTAGCACCAGCAGAAGCAGCCATGAACACAAGTCCGTGCATGCCCATCACAAAGTGCAATCACCGTGAACACTATTCATCCCATCTGACCTCAACTGACCTTTCATGACTTTGAAGTAGGTACCCACGCTGCCCGAATACACCCAGTGGAGTCTGGCGCAACAGATGAGGTGTTTGGGTTCTTACATATGCTAAGGAACACAACATAGGGCATTTGTGTGAATGTCATAATTCTTGCGAAAAACATTATCAAACACAAAAATATTTACCTATAAAAATGATTTCGTTGGGATTTCAGAAGATATTTGTGATGAAGAAGACGACCGTCGAGAAGGCCTTCACAAAGATGGACATATACCTCAAGAAGGAGAACCAGATTTTATTGAGACACACTGCCACTGGGTAGATTGTTCTCGGGAATTTGAAACTCAGGATGAACTTGTTAAGGTATGTGTCTGGTGATTTTCACAATGATATTGCATACCTCTTCCACACCTCCCCTCTTTCAGCCTTCGTCTATACACTGCGAGTAGACCGAGTAGACCAGGGGGCCCATACTACTGATCATGATGTGAACGCACTCCCACTCAATCCTGTCTCTTTGACTCCTTTCAATGGTGGAAGGAAGATCATGGGAAAGCAGCAGGTTTAGAGTTTCCCTCCTGTTGTCAGCATGGATCTCCATTCATCATAATTCATTGATCTTCACTTAGTTTACAATTATGAGTTTTGCAGTCTTTGGATTTATTAACAGAAGAAGTTTTAAAAAGTTTGACCAAGTCTGGTAATTGAGTACGATTTATTGCCAAACGTCTAACATATATAGGGTGGCACTGTTTCAATCATAGGTTGAACAGATTTCTTCACTTTAGATAAGGAAAGCAGAGATGTCTGCGTTTGTTACAGACAATTTTAAGAATTTATGACAAATGTAACAAATTATTACTGTTGATTACTGAGTTCTTTCCTGTTATGGACTCAAAATTACCTTGATGACGTTCAGAAATGAAATGTGCCAATACCTCCATACTAAGCCAACATGCGATGCACCTTGTTGGCAAGTCCTGACCCCATGACACGTGAACCACACGGACCATGCCAAGTGTTCTGTATAGCAGCTGTGATCAGCTGTTCCCACGGAGGCATTACACTGTATGATATGTCATGCTGTATGTCCACGGCATATTGATACGGCGAGATGGATGGGATGGGCGCCAGATGCCACATGATGTATTACAATAAGTACAACATATGCAACAATATGGTAATTAAGTATAATTCAGTGATCTTTGTGTATTCAACGCAGCCACGGAGTGTTGGGTAAGATTTAGTCGTGATATTCCTCCTCTATCTGTTGTCTGTGTGTTGTGTCTACTGTGGTCAATACCCATGTTGTTTTATTTCCTGGTCAGTCAGGTGAATATATGTCATAGCTTTGTTAACACAATGGACACCTGGAAGCCTGCTAGGTATGTCATAGCCTTGTTAACACAATGGACACCTGGAAGCCTGCTAGGTTGATTCCATTTTAGATCTAGTGGGGTCCACCAGTGGGCCAATTTGTCTGAGGTGCTGCAATTTGAAAAGCCGAGCTGCTTCCCTTGGGCATGCCAGAATCCTCAGATAGTGGGTTTGAATCATGTTTCTATTTTTGTCAACACCATACCCATGCTCATGGGGTCGCCACAGTGGTAGATGCCAAGACATGTTTCACTTTGGGCACAACAACTGACATGCCTTGATGTAACTGGAATACTGTTCAAACTGGCACTAAACCCAACTCACTCACTCACTCACTCAGATGAACTCTGCATGGTATGACCCTTTTTATTGCCTCATTAATAGTGGCTTTCAGAGACCATACCTGTTATATATATTTCATAATCACCCATTACTTAAACACTTATATATTCTTTCATTACCGAAAGTAAAGTAGGCATTTAAGAATAGGGGGATGGGGTGGGGAGTTGTTAATATATCTTCAGACCTTACATATTCTTTTGAATGTGTTGAATGTAGTGTTTCTGTGTTGTGGATATTTCTATTTCATCACAGAGTAGTAAACTGAATCTGTTAAGGCAATTGCAATGAGAAGTATTTGTTCATGTATTAGTTTTGTTAGAATAGTATAGCTATGTTTTACTGCTGTTTGGTGTTCAAAATTGGCATTCTTTTTCTTTATGCTTAGTAAATGGTACCAAACGTTAATACAGCAACTTTTAAAATATTGATACACTTTGATCAGTAATTGATTCATGGATAAATTTGATAATGTGTTGCTATCGGTGTTCTATAATGTATTTCAGTAGTAGCAGTTCAATATCTGTAAATTATTTGGTAAATCCCACAGAAGATCAATACTGTGTAGTTCCTGTACAAGGAAATACAGTGGAAACCTGATAAGTAAAATTTCAAGGGACTCGCCAAAATTGTTTACTTATCAGGTAGTTTACTTATCCAAACTTATATAAACCTGCAAATGACAACCATATGCATGTATATGTATGCATATGTAACAATGAACAACTTATCAGGGCTGGCCTCCAGTTGTCAGTGTATTGTAAACTGCATGACGCCAGCGAGCTGTAAGTAGGATGTTTGTTTGACTGGAGACTGACACGACTGCCCCTCATGTCGGATTATGTGGTGATCGCTAATTTAGTTATCCAGTCTCTTTTGTTAAGAAATTTACTTCAAGGGACCGTGAGGAGACGTTTAGTTAAGCGGTATTGTTTACTTATCCGAGTTTAGTTAACCAGACTCTAATAGTGATAATTAATGAAGAAATTTGACGGGACCAAAGAAAAGTGTTTACTTATCAGGTCTGTTTAGTTAAGCGGTCTTTACTTAGGTGGTTTCAACTGTATATGAGGTCTCATAATGCATATACATGTAAAGCTTTGAATGTGTTTTAAACACCAGTATGACCTACTGTCTGATACAGCAGCTGCTGGTGTTAGTGGCACAGCTCTCAGAGCGGCTACTGGAACCTTATTGGCTATGGTTTAATGCAGAAATTTATGTCTCGTGGGAGCATAAACAGATTTTAGGTTTTTCCGATATTTTGCATCTGACATAATAAATAAATATAATTATGTGTTATTACCTCTGAACCAAGATATTATGGGTTGACAAAAGGGAAATCTCTTTAGGGTTATCGGCTATAAATAGAGTCAGAAGATGCCAGTAACCTGTTGAATGTAGAATAAAGATGCAGCATTGCAAAACTGTCAAGAACCAGTCTATGGCAATAAAGGTCAACCCCTCCTGTCACATCAGTGACAACATCCGTCGGAGCTGGATGTATTAAGAACTGTGTTGCTCATGGTTTGTTTTCGGAAATTGTAGGAAAATACTATGTCCAATAGAATGTAAAGAAGAAACCAATATTTTAGAAAACTGATCCAAAGCCAATGTTGTGTTGTGTTGTGTTACTGTATTGCCTACATCAGTGTTTCTTGTATAGCAACAATTTCTAAGTGAACATATGTGTCATTTTTTACTTTGTGTACATTGTTCTAATTATTGCCACATTGTTTCAGCATATCAATCAGGATCACATCCAGGCCAACAAGAAGTCGTTTGTGTGCAGATGGAAGGAGTGTTCCAGGGAGGAGAAGCCCTTCAAGGCCCAGTACATGTTGGTTGTGCATATGCGACGACACACAGGAGAGAAACCACACAAGTGTACGGTATGTACACCTCATTCTGCTCCATCTTCCAGTATATATGGGCGGTAAGGTAGCCTAGTGGTTAAAGCGTTCACTCATCACGCTGAAGACCTGGGTTCGATTCTCCACATGGGTATAATGGGTGAAGCCCATTTCTGGTTTCCCCTGTCGTGATATTGCTGGAATATTGCTAAAAGCAGTGTAAAATCATACTCACTCACTCACTCACTTATTCCAGTATTTTACGACTGTTCCCCCCTCCCCATCCCCTGATTCCGGAATACCATTGTCTCTCGGAGCCTCCTCCCCTTCCCAGCAGAATCCTGAATACTACTTAACACACATATCAAACACATTGAGAAAAGAGGCCACTTTCAAGTAAAAGTACTAAATAATTCAGCTAAAATGTGAATGTAGAATACTTTTACTTTCGCTTATATTTTTACCTGTTGAACCTGCATACCTGGTGTGTGTATGTTTGAGTCCCAAATACCCTCCAAGTTGACCCCTGAACCCTGCATACCTGGTATGTGTATGTTTGAGTCCCAAATACCCTCCAAGTTTACCCCTGAACCCTGCCCTGAGAACCCTCCAATACCTGGTACCTGGTGTGTGTATGTTTGAGTCCCAAATACCCTCCAAGTTGACCCCTGAACCCTGCATACCTGGTGTGTGTATGTTTGAGTCCCAAATACCCTCCAAGTTGACCCCTGAACCCTGCATACCTGGTGTGTGTATGTTTGAGTCCCAAATACCCTCCAAGTTGACCCCTGAACCCTGCATACCTGGTGTGTGTATGTTTGAGTCCCAAATACCCTCCAAGTTGAACCCTGAACCCTGCATACCTGGTGTGTGTATGTTTGAGTCCCAAATACCCTCCAAGTTGACCCCTGAACCCTGCATACCTGGTGTGTGTATGTTTGAGTCCCAAATACCCTCCAAGTTGACCCCTGGACCCTGCATACCAAAAGGGGTTGGCAGTCTCCCATATGTTTTCTTAAATACATGGAAACATGTGACTCACTAGCTTCAGTCTGGTTCGAATTACATGATGCGAAAAGTAAACATCCAATCAAGCTGTTTTTTAATTATTGAAACAAGCAGCAATATGTCAAGTTCTCATGATACCTTGTTGTGAGGTGTATCAAGTACAAGTTGGAACATCTATAAGACTTCATTCCCCTTCATTCACGACAGTCTTCCGATTTGATTGCATATCTCGAGGTCTTGATTAATCCATGCTGGATGTATAGGTTTGCTTTCATCAAAGACTAGTGCTGCAACATTCTCTCAACTATCACATCATCGTAATCTTGTCCTGTGATGACGAAGTATGACATTATCAATGGTGTATTATGCACATTTGAAATAAAGTGAAATATGGACACAATCAAGTGTTTTGTAAACATTTTTTGAAAACTTATCTGATTAATCTTGAGATGTTTTGAGGCCTTTTTAAATGGGCATTTATTCCACATGTGGTTCAAATATTTCATATGTTAGATGCTATTCATGATCTTTTTAGGCAAAACTGTCAGCAATAAGTAAACTGTTTTTGTGGTAATTGATTAGTACGTCGCAGTAGAATGTGCAGTTAATGCCTCACCATTTTATTAGACATTATTATTCACTCATGCAGAGCTACAGATAACTTTTTGGGTCATTGAGTTATGTACTCGCTTGTGTTCATCTCAATTGGGTATCCTAATTTTCCTTTGAGTAACCAAACAAATTGTACCCACCTCACTCAAACTCAAATGGGTATTTTGCCATTAATTGTGAAAATATAATAAAATTTAAATGTTGGTTTACATATTTGTTATTTATATTGATCTGTAAAATGAGAAACGATAAGAAAGACTGCAAGTTGCCAAGTTCATGTGCTGAAATAGAAGCTCTCAGTGTACCTCAGTTATTTTATCTATCGACCAGTACACAAGCTAAGATTTGACATTTTTGTGTGTACACATGTAAGATCAAATTTATTGAGTATTTTCAAAAATTCAAGTGTACTTGTACGTAATAGACTTAATTGGAATTGAGTTTTCACATAAATATGTGCCTAATGTACGCAGATACGCAGCTTATCTGTACCTCTGCTCATGTAGATTTTGAGAATACCAATCTTAGAAAAAATTGGATACTGTGAATATGATCCAGTGGGCATCATAACGGGCACACTCTGGTTATACTTAGGTCTTTAGACATCAACTGTTTCACTGTGTTACATTCCATGTCTTTTATGGAATTCCACCTCAGTGGAGATGATTTAGCATTGGTTTCACAATTTTCTAAAAGATTAACATTTGTGTTGATTTTTGCTAAATAGTCCTCAAAGATAGCTAATGGCTACAAAATGTTTCAAAGATTAGGTTTCAACAATAACAACAATGCTTTATATTGCTGTCAGGCCATCATCACTGTAGACAAATAGACTGATGAAGGTAGGTAATCCATTTCCGATGAGTAACTCCAGTAATTAGGCCGGCACTAAAGAGGAAATATGAAGAGTGCATAACACGGCATCCACTCCTGTGTTTTTTACCATACATAATACTGATGAAATTAGGAACCTATTACGGTATTGTCAGGAATAATGTGATTATTTCATAAGTATGGTTACTGCACCACTGCGGATGTTATCCCGAAGAGGTGATAAACTCGTCTGGCTATCATGACAACAGGTAAAGTCGTTAACGGCAGACTGACGTGTGTGTTCACACACACATTCACAGCATGCAGCTTAAAATAGTTGCTGCTAATCGGCAAAAAACAATGCATCTATCGTCTCGTATCGCGCCAACCTATTTCTGCTGCTGCTTCACCTGGAGCCTTTGCTGATATAGTGGAGAGATAGGGGTTTGTTATCTCACAGAAATAATGAGATCTTCCTGGTAAATGTTATCCAGGCTGTGCAAGAATGGTCGCCAATAATAACAACCATGAGTAGTTTTCCACCTGATAGTCTCAGCAGGTGACAATTAGTTGTGGAGTAAGCACAAGCTCCCTGAAATAATATAAATAAATTGAACATTTTTTAAGAATGAAAATGTTATTTTACAATTTAATTTAATAATTTCTGCATTATAACAAATAATTGTTTTTAAACCACTTGAATATGTTGTCAGGAATGATGCATATTTCACAAAAGAGGAGATGGATATTTTGAATATATTTTTAATTTAAATATTTGTCTAAATTGGATATATGATTCCAAAATAGTTTCATTTCAAAATCACCTCTCATATTTGACCATCTGTCACATACATTCAGATGCTGATGTGATATCCGGACGCCACAAAATGTCAGGAAACAATACAAATCATCAATATCGGATACAGTTCTCTTGCAGTATGTTTCTATAGTGTAAAGCAATGTAAACTGCCACATTTGCCACCACATGGCTTATGACATTTAAAGAGTTAATACAAGCATTACCCAAGCCGTGATGTAAGATGGTCTGGCACTTGTCTGAGGTGTGTAGGATGTGTGAAATGTGTGACCACACCCATCCCTGTGTCAGTTGATATGGCAACCCTCTGGTGCTGTAATTGGCTAGTATGTCACTATACAAACACATTACATCCAGCATTTATTCAGCTGCTCACCAGAAATCCACTTCCACTGAGCTTTTACTGTGTGTATGTTTTCTCAACTGTTGAAATGGATTGAGCTTTAATGTCAGTGTTTTAATGTCAGAGGTTCGTGGATTTGCAATTGACACAGATTGATAATTTAATTAAGGTTTAAATTGAATTTTGTTTCAATTTTTTTATTGAATGGAATTTAGATTAATTTATATTTTTCAGTCTTAAGCTAAGTTTAAAGTTTAGCTGAAGTTATTTTTAAATTAAATTTCATCAAATTTCTAGAATATATTCCAGGTTTATATGTGGTTCATATTTTTATGTGCACATATTTTCAAGGCCAAAATTGCCAGATGATTCGTGTCAGTAGATGGATAGTTCTGGTAAAATACCCTTTGGATCCATTAATAACATTAAAATTTCAAATCATATTTTGAAAATAAAGGTTTGTACAAAACAAATACTCAAAAGTACCAAGTAGAAGTCTACAGTGACCATCATGTAAGTCATTTGTTTTCGTGATGCTGGTTACCTAGATCCACTGAGTTCTACCAGAATAATGTTATGTAATTGAGTACATTTATTAGCAAAAAGAGAACAATGCCCTTTATAAATTGTAAAGTGTTCATCTAAATTCATTTTAATTCCATGAAATTAAACGTAGTTGTCATGCCTGAAACAAAGAAATTTACATGTTTAGAATTTCATAACATGACCATTGAAAATGAACTGAACTGCAAAAAATACTATCTATTACAAATGTATGCAAATGGTTCGGATCAAGATACACAGTTGTCAAGCAACCCTTTATGAAAAAACGTAATTGATTTGAGCAGAGCAGTGACACCAGCATTAATAGAGCGACAGACTGTTCAACATATGGTCAAGGGGACACAACTCTGGGATGACTATTGATTTTTCAGTTCTTTGTGTTTATCCAAAGCTTCAATAAAGGAAATCAGAGAGTGTCCTTTTGACACTGATATGGGATGTCAGTGTAGCTGTCAAATGCTCAAAGCTCTTTGTATCCAAGTTCAGCCTGATAATCTAGGCATTAATTCTACTTTGTCGACAGTGGAATAATATTTGTTAGACACTAAGGGCTCCTTGCATCATGTTCCATCAGCATGATTATGGTAAGTTAAATAAGTGTCTTATGGGAAATATTCACATGCTTGTAGGGAATATACCTTTGGAGGAAATTTAGGATTAATATTGTCTCAAGACTTTTGTATTTTAGTGTCAGTTTTAATTGATTTTAGTTAAAAGAGGGGACGATTGATGCCAGTCATGCATCTCCCCAAATAGTCTTCACATGCAGTTAAACAGTAAAAGTACATGCTCTTTTAGGAAACTATGTCTATATATGTCTGTATGTATTGACCTTGAGGGTGGCATGCTTTGGATTTTTAGTGTGTCTGAGTTTTTTATAAATGACTCAAAAATAGATTGTTCTGAAACAGCCAACTATTGTTTTAAAGTATTTTGTTTGTTGTAAATATTTGAAGAGCAAAAAGTAGAGATGCCTAAACAGAAAATCTCAGTTCATGAATATATATTTATATCAATAATATTGCCTGTATTGATTCATATTTTTATTCAGTTCATATTTTGATTTCAACTATTGTTCCTCACATGGAACATTTAAAACACCAATAAAATGACTTTGTTGGTAAATGGATCCTACCTGCAATTAAATATCAGTTTTATAATTTTTGATTATGCTCTGACTACATTGAACAATGTAGGAGTACTTAGTTTAAGACTAATTCTGTTCTAGTTTTCTGTTCTTCTAACTGGTGTTCACACATAAGTTTTCTGGAATATAGTATTGATTTTGTTTTTTAAATATGAGACCAGATATTCCTGAAGTTTCAAGCCCATTTATAACTAACTGAGTGCTTAGTGTATTGTGGGATTGCTTCACTATGATGTCCCTAATGATTAGCAATGAAGTGATTAATTACAGTAATTCTTGCTTTCAATTGTATGACAGTAATTAAAACATTTTTCAAAGACACTTTCATTGTTGTACATCTGATCTGAGTTTATGAACATGTAGGTAGTTTTGCCATTTAGTTGTGAGTTATTATGTTAGTGGAACAACCCTTCTGTACATAACCCAGTTAGCACATCTTTTGAAAATAATTTAGGTTAAAACAAAATAGAAAAAAAACATTGAAAAAAATGCAAACAGCGTGAAACAAGTATGATTTTTCAAGCCTTTATCAAATATTTGATATATTGTTTTAGGTTGCTAGTAACGTCAGTTCTTCCATAAGTTATACTCTATGAAACAATCACCTGACATAGGTATCACTGTAGGTATCTCAATTTCTATGTGTGGTGAGATATTTTAAGAGCTAGAGTGATTGTCACTGATTGTACATACAGATATATATTTTCTAAATAATGCGGTGAATATGGATGGGTACTGACATTTCATGGTCATGGAAACAGGGGAGATAACAGTGTGAGAGAAAGATCACTCCCGTGTTTCTGCAGTTTTGTCAAACAATTTGTGAATATATTTCTGGTTAGATGTGAAGTTCAACAATGCAAATGATAGGGAAGCTTGTGATATATTTTTACCCAATATACAGGAACACAGAAAAGATATACAACATGTATTATTTCAATAGCTTTGTTTACTATGGAATACTAGAGTAATACTCTGCAGTCCGATTATTCATGGTATCAGATTGGGGTATGTTAAGGCCAGTTGCTGTTTGTCATCTAAAACGTACATTTTTCAAACTGGTACACATATGCTGGGAGTAGAGTGATATATCACAGCTTGATAAAATAACGAAAATGTCTTAATTCTATTGTGTTTTCTTGACACAAGCAAGCAGATTATGATATGAATTGCTTATGGCTGTTTTGTTTTTTCACTTTCAGTTTGAAGGTTGTTCGAAGGCATATTCACGACTTGAAAACCTTAAAACACATCTTCGGTCTCATACGGGTGAGAAGCCCTACATGTGCGAGTTCCCAGGGTGCACCAAGGCTTTCAGTAACGCATCCGACAGGGCCAAGCATCAAAACCGAACCCACTCCAATGCTGTGAGTATATATGTATAGGTGAATCTGATTAGAGCGAGTGAATGAAATAGGATTACTGCCTCTTTGAATTTCACGTAATTCACATTGTGTCAGTTTGATTTGTGAGGAAAGTTTGAAATTATGTTGGTCTTAGAAACTTACTGCATTGTGATACTTACATGCGTGGGTATGGTGCAGACAGACAGATAGACATACTCACTTATCATAAGCGCCAGGCATGCTAAAGGGGCACAACTCTGCACAGCAGCTTGTAGGCAACCCGTGACAAACTGGTGCTTCTGGCAAGAGACTAGAGAGCTAAATGGTCTACTCCAATGAAAATTATTCTGTCTAGAGTGCTGCCAAATTAATCTGAACATACATGACACTCAGGATCTACAAGTCCTGGTTACACAGTCATGTAGTAGGATGTATGTAGTTCTCAACTGGCTGATGTGTATAGCTGATGTTACTTTCTCCTACAGAAACCGTATGTATGTAAGGCAGCAGGCTGTACCAAACGCTACACTGACCCCAGCTCCTTGAGGAAGCACGTGAAGACCGTCCACGGCCCAGAGTTCTATGCAAACAAGAAACATAAAGGAAATGATCAGATCACCGGTTGCAACCCCAAGAAAGAAGAACCCGATGACGTAAGATTCAGAGTCTTGTCAGCTGATTATAATTACCATACTCTGACATAGACTTACAACACTCCTAACACTGAACTCCGATCTATTCTTGATGTGACTGTGTTTGTGAGGTGAGGTGAGGTGAAATTGGGTTTAACGTCGTGCTTGAGAATATTTCGCTCATATGACGACGTGCATGCGTGTGTATGTGTATGTGCGGCTGCTTGTACTAGCCCAGACTGAAGCTGTTTTTATAGTGCTAGCCCACTGAGATACCATGCCGCAGTGAAGCATGAATACCCCTCTCAGACACATTATACTGACTCCGAGCCGACCAGTCCTTGTTGTACCCATTAATGCCGAGCGCCAGGCAGGGACCAACAAGTACCATATTTTAACGTCTTTTGGTATGACGTGGTCGGGGATCGAACCCGCGACCTTCCGCTCTCCGGGCGGACACTCTAACCACTACACCACGGAGGCGGTCGACTGTGTTTGTATGAGAGTTACAATAATCTGTCTGCTGTTACAGGACAAGAAAGATGACGACCAGTGTAAGAAGATGGAGGAGTGTCTCATGGTAACTTCATTACAGACGTCAGCTCCAGGAGAACGAAGAAAGTCACAGGTACAACTCATTCCTTGTCCTTATCCATCTGATAATCCCTAACTGACAGTCAGTTCCCAAAGAAACTAATAGCGATGGTCAAGATGGAATGGTATGTGGATATAATTTGGAAGTATTTTGTTTGTGTTCACGAAATGGCCTGCAATGGTGGGTACAGCAATCTTCATAAATCTTTGTTGTTTGCAAAGCAAAGCCTTACCTTTTTTGGTAAGAGCTTAAGGATATGCCAGTATAAGGGATCGCAATTTTATAATGAAGGAATCAGAGGACTGTCACCAGTGGATGATTCTTGAACCTGAAATTTAAGTTAGAGTGGAACTGGAGTGGCTATTTGCAAGGAGCCAGGTATCAATCAGTCCACTCTGACATTACTCCATACAATGAATTAACATTTATTTTCCAGGATAATGTGGGATCATCCGTGTCTCAAAACAACCCATCACCCCAGAGCAGTCCTGAAGTCAACGTGACCAACAACATCCAGCCCGACACTATCGAGGAGCATCTGAGTGGAGGAACGCACATCACCTCATCTGGAGGGAACCCTGGGAGCATCTCACTGGAGGAGGAGGAGGTCGACATCCCGGAACCCGACGAGGCTGAGGTAGGGACTGCTGTAATCACAGGCTCAATTGGACCTTCATTGTTTCAGGCTGTGACACGATAATGTTTTGCCTTTCAGTTCAAAGTTACAATCACGTTGATTTTAAAGCCAATTGTGTAAGAAATGTATTTGCAGATTTTTTAAACTGAATGCTATTGGTGCTATAGTAATTAATCTTCATCGCTGATTATATTAAGGAATAGATAGATAAAGTATAGAGTGAGTGAGTGAGAATGGTTTTAGATTACTTTTAGCAATATTTTGATAATATCACTAGAAGTGGGCTTCACACATTGTACTCATGTGTGGAATCAAACTTTGGGCAAAATGGGTTGAAGCAGTGTTACCACTAGGCTGCCCAACAATCCACAAAGTATTAAGGATATGACTGAAATATAAATATCTCTGTTCCCAGGTACCTGGTGGGTCCGAGTCACTGCTGGTACGTCGCAACCAGATCAATTCTGGCCAGGTGATGCAGAACCGAATGAAAGGCCGAATCAACAACAAAAGCAACTCTCTGTCAGTCTACTCCCAGCTGCCTCCAATAAGTCCCAGTAAGTACTCCCAGCTGCCTCCAATAAGTCCCAGTAAGTACTCTCGGATGCCTCCAATAAGTCCCAGTAAGTACTCTCGGATGCCTCCAATATGTCCCAGTAAGTACTCTCGGATGCCTCCAATAAGTCCCAGTAAGTACTCTCGGATGCCTCCAATAAGTCCCAGTAAGTACAACTCCCAGCTGCCTCGGATGCCTCCAATAAGTCCCAGTAAGTACTCTCGGATGCCTCCAATATGTCCCAGTAAGTACTCTGATGCCTCCAATAAGTCCCAGTAAGTACTCTCGGATGCCTCCAATATGTCCCAGTAAGTACTCTCGGCTGCCTCCAATAAGTCCCAGTAAGTACTCTCAAAAGGTCCCAGGTATGCCTCCAATAAGTCCCAGTAAGTACTCTCGGCTGCCTCCAATAAGTCCCAGTAAGTACTCTCGGCTGCCTCCAATAAGTCCCAGTAAGTACTCTCGGCTGCCTCCAATATGTCCCAGTAAGTCCCGGCTGCCTCCCAATACTCTCGGCTGCCTCCCAGTAAGTACTCGGCTGCCTCCAATAAGTAAGTCCCCCAGTCCAATAAGTCCCAGTAAGTACTCTTGGCTGCCTCCAATAAGTCCCAGTAAGTACTCTCGGCTGCCTCCAATATCCAAAAGTCCCAGTAAGTACTCTCAATAAGTCCCAGTAAGTACTCTCGGCTGCCTCCAATAAGTCCCAGTAAGTACTCTTGGCTGCCTCCAATAAGTCCCAGTAAGTACTCCCGTATGCCTCCAATAAGTCCCAGTAAGTACTCTCGGCTGCCTCCAATAAGTCCCAGTAAGTACTCTCGGCTGCCTCCAATAAGTCCCAGTAAGTACTCTCGGATGTCTCCAAAATGTCCCAGTAAGTACTCTCGGCTGCCTCCAATAAGTCCCAGTAAGTACTCTCGGCTGCCTCCAATAAGTCCCAGTAAGTACTCTCGGCTGCCTCAATAAGTCCCAGTAAGTACTCAATAAGTCAGCTGCTGCCTCCAATAAGTCCAATATGTCCCAGTAAGTACTCTCGGCTGCCTCTCCAATAGGTCCCAGTAAGTACTCTGGCTGCCTCCAATATGTCCCAAGTACTCTCGGATGCCTCTCCAAAAAGTCCCAGTAAGTAGCCTCCAATGTCCCTCCAATAAGTCCCAGTAAGTACTCTCAGGCTGCCTCCAATAAGTCCCAGTAAGTACTCTCGGCTGCCTCCAATATGTCCCAGTAAGTACTCTCGGCTGCCTCCAATAAGTCCCAGTAAGTACTCTCGGCTGCCTCCAATAAGTCCCAGTAAGTACTCTCGGCTGCCTCCAATAAGTCCCAGTAAGTACTCTTGGCTGCCTCCAATAAGTCCCAGTAAGTACTCTCCCAGTAAACTCTTGGCTGTCCAATAAGTCCCAGTAAGTACTCTCGGCTGCCTCCAATAAGTCCCAGTCCTGCCAGTAAGTACTCTCGCTGCCTCCAATAAGTCCCAGTAAGTACTCTTGGCTGCCTCCAATAAGTCCCAGTAAGTACTCTCGGCTGCCTCCAATAAGTCCCAGTAAGTACTCTTGGCTGCCTCCAATAAGTCCCAGTAAGTACTCTCGGCTGCCTCCAATAAGTCCCAGTAAGTCCCAGTAAGTACTCTCGGCTGCCTCCAATAAGTCCCAGTAAGTACTTCCGTCCGCCTCCAATAAGTCCCAGTAAGTACTCTCGGCTGCCTCCAATAAGTCCCAGTAAGTACTCTTGGCTGCCTCCAATAAGTCCCAGTAAGTACTCTCGGCTGCTCTGTGTCATATCTGTCTCCTAAGATGGGCCAATCAGCTTGCTTATTTGCTGCTAGCAATATTAGGTGGGATTGGGCCATGGTTCGAATCTCAGCTTGGGGAATAGTCATCACTATAAGACATAGGTTATTAGGCAGTGCTTAATGCATAGGAGCTTCCTACAAGCATGTTCTTGCTCAAAGATAGCGCAATGTTTCTGTTGTATTGAGGAACTTTAAGAATTACCTGTATTTTTGCAGATGGTCGGCGCTGCAACAACAGTTCAAACGACTTAAATGTCAAGATGACTCAGATTAAAACAAGTCCACCTCATAAACGTATTGCTGATCTCGCAGGTATGATGTGCTTAGAGAAAGCTTTTTTTCAAATTAAATCTGGACCTTGTTAAGTTCATATTTGGATGACTGGTATATTGGCAAATTGTAGTGTAATTTCCTTCAGAATATTCAAATGACACATGTCCATCAGAATCAGTGTAGTGAATACCAAATGATCAGTCCAATTGAATGTCTCATCCTTCTATTGCAGGTCGCACAGAGCTGCAGACGCAGATGATCTATGGTGGTGGTCGCCGTGACAGCAACACCAGCACCCTCAGTTCCTACATGAGCAGCATGAGGTCGGACACCAGCCCCTACCCCTTCGGTAGTCAGTTCTCCAGTCGGAGGTCCAGTGAAACGTCGCAGCTCTCATCCAACCGGTTCAGCATCGCCAACTCTCCGTACGAGTACGACATCTCAGGAAATCTGCCCCATCATGCCTCCAGGAGGTCGAGTGAGAGTAGTAATATTGGTAATGTTGCCAACATGATGCAGAAAGCCCATCTAGGGAGCCATCCCAACTTAGTTGTGCAGTCACAACAGATGCCCATCCGAAGTCCTGCCAACAAGTACTGCAATGAGAATATTGCAAGGTTCTTCGCCGCACGGCGGGAGATGGAAGGTGCACGGACCAGCACGCCATGTCGCACGCCACTGCCTCACGAAATTCCCAACAGGGAGATCAGGAGAGCCAGTGACCCTGTGCGGACTGTCGATCACAATTTCCGTGACCTGAAGCGGCTTCAGCGCTACCACAGTTTGAATGTTATGAAGGTTCTTCCAGTTCCGCCCAGTATGAAAAGTCTGCAAGGAAAGTGTGGGTCAAACAACACGTTCCACTCTTCCAGAAGCAGCATCGCTACTGACTACAGTGTCGCTGAGGATGCAGAGTATGGGTCTCCCGGAAACAACATGGAGACGTACAATGAGCAGTCACTGGAAGAGAAGATGCTGGAGGATAATGAGGATATGATAATCCCCGACGACATGCAACGGTTCCTGAACGAACGCTATGCAGGGTATGACCCTCATCCGCCAGACATGGAGCAACGGATGCAAGGGAACTTTCCGTCTCAAAACCACAGTCCCAATAACCAATACTCAAATCAGCAACCCTCGGTGCCACATCCCTATAGCAACAATATGCAAATGCAGTCTGGTTTCTATGACAATCAGGGTATGAACTCTAACATGATGTGTGGGAATAATGGTCAGCAGTTCAACAATGGTGGCCAGTGTGGCCCTGGCATGATGCCAAACATGCAGCAGGGGTGGAACCAGGGTCAGAACTTCAATAACGAGATGCAGAATATGCAAATGAGAAATATGCAAATGCAACATTCTCCTGGAAGTCAGTTATCGCCTCAGGCGATGCAGATGCAAGGCATGAGCCAGCAGAACATGCAACAGGGAAATATGCCACAAGGGGGGATGACCACAATTCCTGAAAATGTTCCGCAGCAAGGAAGAATGGGTAATAATGGTCAAGGAAACAATATGAACCAATGGCCTGTTATGATGAACCAAGGTCAAGGTCAGAATCAAGGTCAAGGCAGCATGCTGCCACCTCAGTCTCCACAGATGTTTGCACCCACACCTCCGAACATGCCCAAAATGCAGATGCAGAATGGGATTCAGATGCAGATGAACATGCGCCAGAAGCCGGAACGAGCCAGACCGCAGGTGCAGGTTCCTCTTATTAGCCAATCACAGATACCACCAAATGCCAAGACAGCTTCACGGCTGCTGAGACAGCAACAGCTGATGCAGCAGCAGCAGCAGCAGAACGGCGCTGGCATTTTCAACAATCTGCAGATGCAGATGCAGCAGGGACCGATGCAGCAGATGCAGAACATGCAAGGGATGCAGCAGAGCTTCCACCAACAGAAGATGTACCCTGGGGACAACATGGGCAACGGCATGAACACCAACATGAACGGCAACATGACACCCAACGTAGTGAACAGCATGCCACCCCCACCTGCTCCCCAACCACTACCACCAACACAGCAACCATTTCCCCAACAACCTGTACCACCCATGTTTCCCCATCCCCCCAGCAGTAACACCCCCTCGGGTACCCCCCAGAACAACCGGCCCAGCTGCCAGATCCAACAGCCACACGGCCCCTTCCCCAACCAGCTTGAAATGTCGCCAGGGTGCAACCAGGTGACGAGCAGCACCGACCCCGCCGAGACCACGGCGCCACCGATTGAAGATTTCATGGACAACTTAACATCAATATCAACTGAAAATCTCATAGACAATATAAGCTCAATATCACAAGAAAATATATTCAGTCCAACAGCAGCCTCGAACCGGTCAGCGTCTCAGAATTCCTCTCGGTTGAATCCAGTGCTCAATATGAATAACATGGCGGTAAATGATATGAGCTCTGTCTTGACCACACTAGCAGAGGAGAACAAGTATTTGAATATGAAGTAACAGAGACTAGAGTGATGTAGACTTGGATGTTGGTGCACATATGGAACATTGTGAAATGTTATATGTTTTTCCTTTTTATCTTGCATTTATTGTGGCATTATGGGTGCTAGTGCTTATGGTGCAGCAAGGAGTCGGCCTAGAAGGCATCTTGCTGGACACATTGCAACATTGTTGTGAGTGTGACTTTCAGTGACTTGTGTATGAGACAGCTTGTTCAACATGCAGTGGTGGAATACAGTGTTAATGTAGAATCATATATCATTGTCAGTGGACATATTATGGGTGACATGAATCGTGTACATTTCCCTCAGGTAAGGTTTTGGATGATTCACGATCAGGTGACTAAGATCTTTGGCAATTGATGCTGTAGCGTTTAAATTAAACAATAATTTCGAGTTATCAACCTTTTTTTCTGTGTGGGGTATAATAGCATGGGGCTGTACGTCAACCCTTATACTGACTTATAATGACTTCCAAGACCTGAATGACATGCTCTGGAGAAAAGATTACCCCCATATCTTTTAATACTGATCTGAATACATACAGCAAATAATGCAAAATAAATATGAGATTAATTGGTATTTGTTGAATGATAATGTTGGTTGTCTCAGTTAAATTCCAACAATACTTTTGAAGTATTCTTTAATACCATAACAGTTTTGGTGATATTGTTATATCTGTAGATATACACAGGCAGGGTTTTAATGCAATCGTTACTCATCTTTGGTGGGTCATCATCTCTCCAGACCCCATACAGCATAATAGGTATGATATTTGTCCATTTTAACATGAATATATTCTAAATATATTCGTTCAGACTGCATGCCAAAAGATTGGTTTTGATCTTAATGGCAAGTGCTTGTGGTAGAAGTTAAACATCATTGTGATAAGGAATTATTCATATCCATGTATACTTTCTTTATTTTTCTCATTTCAAAGCATAATAAGCAAGGTTTTAGTTGTTCTGTTTTTGTATGCATTGTTTGAAATATTTAGAGGTAAACACTTTGAGACCTACATCTCTAAATTAGGAGACATTTCATTACAGTTTTCTGTAATATCTCTGTTTTGTTTTGATATGATTTCATGTCAGAAAGTACAGTTGATTGTTTTTATAACTATCATTGTTTTTAGAGGAAAGAGTGGCATGATCAACGTTCCATATCGTCCTGAAGTGCTGATCTCCGTAATATTTGCATAATTAGTTAAGAGGAGAATTTTACTTTACTGCAGAGATCAGTATGAGCTTGAAGTGCTTAGCAATGCATTCCGTTAACTGAAATTAACCATCAACCATCACGGAACATTTAAGAAGTTTCTCTAGAACGTTATCACAGAAAACACCTCATAATAATTCTAAGGTGAACAAATACATGTTACCACTGTGAAAAGAACATTGTTTTGAGGTAAAATCAAGTGCTTATGAATAGTTTTCTGAATGTTGTTTTGTTTTAGAGTATGCTTGTTTGTACAGATTTGTCCATATCATGTTTAAGAATGTATACATCTTTTTTAAGAAAAAGTATTTGCAAATTTTATTATGAAGATTTTGATATTTTATAGCATCATTGTGGTACTGAAACAAAGTTTTTGTGAAGAATTGAGGTATTGTTCTCTCAAAATGAAGTGACAGATTTGACCCACAAGGCTGCTGAATGTTTGCCATATAGTTGTGCTGATCTTCAGATTAGCAAAATAGAAGTTTAAGGAATGAAATATTATTGACATCAGGCATTTTTTATGAATTTCACTATTATTTGAGTGAAATATTTTCCTCACTAAAGAAAAAGAAATAAAATTTTAAGTAGTACTGTCCAAAATAATGTTTTGTGACTGGCAGGTTGCCTAATAGTCCAAGGGAGGCAATTCTGTTTCTGTTAGTGAATTACCTCCCTTTGGTCTTTTAACGTTAGATCAACAATTTTCATATGAAACAGCTGTTACATAATTAGTAACATGTTTCACTTATCTTGTGTTTTTCATGAGAAATCCATTAATTTGAAGTCTGTCTCAGTTTGAAAATTCAGCCAAGAAGTATGAGGTTGTAAACAGTGAAACATTTCACAACTTGGTAGTGTCGGAAATAAGGAAGACATTTCAGTATTTGTTTTATATAGGATTAAATAAAGGCGTCATATGTATTCAAAATCATTTTTCATTCTAGAATGTAAGATCCTGTGGTTCTCATCTAGGCAAACTGGATGCAATTATTTGGCACCTTTCCGACACTACTTTCACATATTGTCAAATGTTTTACATACACGTGAATAAAGGTATATATGTATTTTTGTCACAAAGGCAACTTGCTCTGCACATAGATGCCTGCAGTTTGTGAGACAAACAAAAACATGGCTAGATCAGCCCCTTCTGCTGCGAGATTAACATTTTCCCACAGTACCTAACAGTAAAGTAAAGAGGGATTGCCCAAAAATATAAAAAAAGTGGAAAAGAAGTAATTCAGGAACTAAGCAATAAAAATATGTCTTTGTTTTATCAAACAGATGCCTAAGAATGATTTTTGTATATATGTCAAAATGATCAGTGTACTTAAAAGATGGCACAGTTCCCATGCTGCTCAGAATATGTAAAGGAAATACCTAATTTTTCTCTTTATCTTTCACATACTTGTTATGAATTAGCTGAAATATGATCAGCCATGGAGACCATCAGCGCAGCTGTCTGTACTCAACAATAACACTTGTTATATGGATGTACATTGCTGCAATGACAGTGATTGGCAATTTGGGTATCTGATATATTCGTCTTCACTGACTCTCCATAGAAGTACTGATTTGGTCCATTGTACTAGGGAAGTAATATGTTATATTATAATGATTAGGTACAATTTATGAAGAAAACCCATTATAACAATAATTTCTTCTGCTGAAAAGATATTTGTCTCAAAGTGATGATCTTATTAATTTTACTCACTGTACAATGTTGATTATTCTGACCGCAATTGAGTTACCTTTGAATTTCATCACATATCCTTGTGCTCTGAAATCTGTAAATATTCTATCCGGTGTTTTGGTAAGAGGGGATGATCTGCTAGCTATAACTGCATGTTTGGTTGCCATAATCATAGAGGACTGACTGGAAAATGATGCATTTGAGTTGTCTCCCTTAACTGACAGAATCAGATCATTAAAAGGCTGAACTCAGGAATTTGGGTAAAGTGAATGTACAGATCTCAATTGCTATAAATGTGTTCAATGCAAATAAGTGCTATTAATATAAAACAGTGGATGAATATGTCCTGTTTTAGACCTTGCTTAACCCACAGCATAATTGAGATTGTGTTGAATACTTCTGTATCAACAGAAAGCGTATAGATTCAAACCAAACTATCCTTGAAGGGAGATAACTCCGCTTACGTTACATACTCATGAATGTCCATATAGAGTGGACACATTGCCCTCATCACATTGTTGTTGAACAACTATGCATAATATAATAGAAGCATACTACATATATCATTGATGTCGGACATAGAAGAGAGAGTATGTGTAGCACGGTAGTGACGTCATGCCATGTTGGAAATATATTTCATACTCTGTGCATTGTACATTTTGTATGATACACCTATTTTTCTAACCCCTAGAATCAAGCCACATCTGGTGCCTGTAACTCATGTCATTTTTTGTAGACAGTGATAGGATGTAAATAAAAAAGTGCTTGTTAAACAAGACAATTGGATTTTGTTGTGTGTGAAATTGTACAAGGACTAAGGATTTATACCTGAACATACACACAAGTATCACAAGCCACATCGTGAAGTGAACAACGTACTTCTTATGACGGCAGTCAGAAAATGGTTGGGTTCAGACCAGACATTCCAATCACTGACATTGATCTACATATTTTGGATATGCTGACATGCATCATATCCTGTTACTCACCTTTCACAAAAGCATTGGTTGCTGAAGACCAGTAAATGAGCAGGGTTTGATATGTAAGGCATAAAGACTGGTGAGAGAGGGGTGGCCAGCTGTATCAGGAACTGTAAAACTTTTTAAGTTTACAGACTGAGTGTTTTGAAAAGTTATGGTTAAATCACAGAATATCTGCTTAGTGAGGGAAAAAAGCTGAAGGGCACTGTCCAGGGCAATATATACCATGTTCTCCTTTGAGTGGCATTTAGAAGTGGGGGTTCTTTGTTACCATAGGAGTGATGTTTCTGTGTAGGTTCGAACACATTTTTAGAAAGTGATGTACAGAGCATGGATTAAAAGGCATATATACAAACAAAGAAGTGCTTTTGTAGTTGAGTTAATTAGGGTAAAAACAGCTCATCATATAGTTTTATATATGCGAAGCACACATACTTTTACCAATATTCTAGCAAAAACTGGACTTCAGACATTGTACATATGTGGGGAATTAACCAAACACCTTGGAAAGCTTTAAATACAAAGCTACAAGGCGATCCCTCTGCCTCAGTCAGATAGTGTACATCGCTACAAGGCGACCCCTCTGCCTCAGTCAGATAGTGTACATCGCTACAAGGCGACCCCTCTGCCTCAGTCAGATAGTGTACATTGCTACAAGGCGATCCCACTGCCTCAGTCAGATAGTGTACATCGCTACAAGGCGACCCCTCTGCCTCAGTCAGATAGTGTACATTGCTACAAAGCTCCCACTGCCTCAGTCAGATACTGGCGCCACTGACCCCTCTGCCTCAGTCAGGTAGTGTACATCGCTACAAGGCACCCTCTGCCTCAGTCAGTCAGTGTACAGTGTACAAGGCACCCTCTGCCTCAGTCAGATAGTGTACATCGCTAAGGCGACCCCTCTGCCTCAGTCAGGTAGTGTACATCGCTACAAGGCACCCTCTGCCTCAGTCAGATAGTGTACATCGCTACAAAGGCGACACCCTCTGCCTCAGTCAGGTAGTGTACATCGCTACAAGGCCACCGCTTCTGCCTCAGTCAGGTAGTGTACATCGGCTACAAGGCATGACCCCACTGCCTCAGTCAGATTGTGTACATCGCTACAAGGCGACCCCTCTGCCTCAGTCAGGTAGTGTACATCGCTACAAGGCGACCCCTCTGCCTCAGTCAGATAGTGTACATCGCTACAAGGCGACCCCTCTGCCTCAGTCAGGTAGTGTACATCGCTACAAGGCCACCGCTCTGCCTCAGTCAGGTAGTGTACATCGCTACAAGGCGACCCCACTGCCTCAGTCACATTGTGTACATCGCTACAAGGCGACCCCACTGCCTCAGTCAGGTAGTGTACATCGCTACAAGGCGACCCCACTGCCTCGGTCAGTTACCATATATCCTCTGCTTCTAAAGGTCTATATAGAACACAAGCCATCAATACAATATCTTCAGTTTATTTACCAGTAAAAAAAGGTCTGTCAACAGCATCCTACTGAGACTTCTCGTCAGTCAACAGTACATAAAAATTAACATACACCTTGAAAATATATAAATAGCATCAATGATGAAAAAAACAATATTGCATTATTTTCCAAGATGATGATGAAAATGAAAGACAGATTTACAAATACAATGAATTATGGGAGCAAATATTAAATCTTTCCTCATAGCATGTTTCTGGCAAACAAATCCATAAGGCACCTTTAACTGATAGGCCTCCTGAAAATACAAATATTGCTGGAATTGCTCATCCAGACATAAATAACCCACTCTTTCCCCATGTAGAAAAGATTGAAACAGTGATAAAACATCAACAAACTGACGCAAGATCTCGCAAAAGTTCACACATCTCTTTAAGTTTGCATCCATTTTTCTCAACTTCATACAATCAAAAACCCGTCATATCCACACAAGTTCACAGTGAACTTTTAATCTATATTTATCCCTGATTTATTTCCTTTCAAAATGCCTATAAGTTCAATGATATATGGACCACTTGTGGCGTATACATATAGCATCAGAACATTAAGAGATCTGTGGCTCTTAATGTAAGAGCATGAATGTTCTTCTGTGTATATCCAGGGATTTATCTAGGATATCAAAGAAAATGCACAATATCAGCTCAGCTGGGTAAACAATACCATTTTACTTAAAATTGGGGGTGTTATATTTCCAAGTTTTCTAAACACTATATTCTGACATTGCATCTCAAGCAATATGAATATTAGTTCCATTATCAGTAAAATACATGTCAACTTGACCAAGCCATCACATCATAACACAGGTTATAACATCATATGGAAAAGTTATAATTTCCTCTTGAGAATTTTGTTTGACATTTATTACATTTGCATGCCCTAACCTGAATATCTGTCTTTGATCAGGTCTAGATAAATCCCTTTTAATGCCATCAATGTGTGAATATTGTACAAGACAAAGAGTCACGTTGACACTTGTCACATCATTCCCTGACACATATTGATAAATTCTGTTTCAACGGTTAACCCTTTAAGGTAAATATAGTCAGTAATGGATAATGGCATGGTTGACACACATACAAATACAAAACATCATTCATATTGGCACAATAACACATCAAGAAAAATATTACTCTCTGCCATTTTAAATGTTTTGGTTTTTTGTTTCGCATTTGTACACAATGTACTTTTTGTCTATGAAGTGATTCAGTAGTGTCAGTAGACACACTGATACATCTGTATGAAACACTGTACATTAGTAACATGTTTCACACAATCAACATGATTAATGCATGGAATATAAATCAACAACACAACTCCTGAGAGTTACTATCCCCATGAGTTTAGTCTCAAAAAGAGATTAAGGGGCATTTTTTTATCAGAATGACATCCCATCAACATAAAGTCTTATGAAGAGATTAAGGGGTGTACATTTTCCTTCCAATGACGTCCCACCAACATAAAGTCTTATGAAGAGATTAAGAGATGTACATTCTTTTTTTCAATTCTAACATTCAAGCAACATGACTTTATTTAACATATGTTCAGTCAATGGTGTTTCAGTTCATCATGATAGAAATCCAGTAATACTAAAGGAATATCCTCTCCATGGAAACCTTCAATTGATTTCATAACCCCTGGTCTAAAAAGACTTTCTAAAATATCTAGGTAAAGTTTCAAACAAATCATTTTATTTTATTTCCTTCAAATGTGACTAAATAATTTCCTTTTGACATTTAAAACAAACTAATTTAAAACAATCATATTTTGAAAATGCATTTCTTATAGTGTTATCAACATCAATGTTAAAACACTCAGATATTCAAATCTGAATACGTTATTACTAGAAGGTGTAATTTAGACCAGTTTTGTCTTAATCAGTCTACCACTGCAAACTGCCCATACAGAAGCAGTGGCAATTTCCTTCAGTAGTACGGATTTCAAATAAATTCAAACAAGTAACTACTCTAACATAGAAACATTTATGTTTCCTCTTTAAATGATAAATAAACAATGTTCTACATGACTGAGCTGCTACAACAGCCGTTGAGCATTCAGCTGTCAGATAACAATGTAAGTATCATGTACGACGCTTCAAGTCAATGTTTACTTCCCTGACAACTTGGAAACAAGAATGGCTTTCATTTCCTTCGCTAATTTCTCCAAATCCACAATCTTCAATCGGAGTTTCTCATTATCAACAATAAGTTCATCTGCTTGGGATTCCATGTCAACAAATTTCTGTTTCCTTATTTCACGTGATCTGCGTGAAGCAACATTGTTCTTGTCGCGGCGTTGACGATACTTCTGTACAAGTGGAACGGGGCTTGTGGACGCAGCAGCGCCAGAAGGTCCCCATTCCTCACTCACACTAGATGAAGTAGACAGCCGAGGACGTTTGCAGACATAGTCATGGTCGGGGGTTGTAGCCACAACCTCTTCCTCCATGCTGACCACATCTACAAATTCCACAACCTCTTCAAACTTGCGCTTCATAGATGGCTCTGCAGTTTCCACCGCAACCTCAACAGGTTTTGTCTTTTCCATTAGTGCATCAATATCTTCTGCAGCTCCATCTACTGGCTCAACAGTTCTATCCTTAAATGTCAAATTGTTTACATAAATTTTAAATAATATCAAAGTTTCAAATGCTTAGGAATAATGAAAAATATCATCAACAGAACAAAACGTCAAAAATCAAAACAGTCAGTCCAAGAACCCTGAGCTAATTGTTTTACCAATTTAAATAATTTGAAAAATAAGTGAATGTTCAAATTTAAATTCCAAAACAAAGCATGTTATTCTAAAACACAAGTGAAACTTACCTCCTCAAGGAAGGTAGAAAGATCCACAAAACTATCAAGACTGGCTTCGGCCAGTGGATCGAGATAACTTAGCATCCCTGGGTCAAAGCTGCCCAGCATCAATGCATTGTTACCGTTGTCGATCGACATCAATAGGTCATCAGCTGACGGCTTTAAGTTGAACTTCAAGTCATCAGCTGGCCCTGAAAAGAAGAAATACATATGAAGAGATTTCCAATGGGAGGTTAACCTCAAGCATCAAGACAAATCTAGAATATTGTGGGAAAAAATAATTTAACAAGCACTGTTCTTACAGAAAAGATCACCAAAATGTTATAACTTTAGTAATTGAGCTGGCGTCTTTTAAATAATAATCAAATTGTTGACATTTTTCAAAGTGAAAAATATTAATGAAGATATCAATAAAAGGTAAATATAAATATGAAAAAATAATAATTAAGTAACTATTACAAGGCCACTTATTATCAATAAATTCTTTCAAACAAAATACCCGTTGGGGCTGACGTATTATAAACGCACCTGTCCAATATTGTGATGAAATGTTGTTGGGTAAGTGGATGCCAAATAAACGTAAAATTTCATCTCAAGAAGCCTACTCTCCACTAACTCTATCTTTCCTAGACATACGAGAGGTTTGTCAGTTTTGATTTGCCCGCGACTTTATATTATCAGCTACTTGCACAACTGATCCCAGTATGACGAAATTCTGGGAAATAGAGGCACAATCTTTGCTGAACGGGCAAGTACTGCCCTATTTATGGAAACATACGTTGTTGTCACGTGATCGCTAAGAAACAGCGACAAACACTTGTCACGTGACAGGGCGGTTAACCGGCCAAGGCAGCCTCGGGTCGATTAACCGTACCTACCATGTTTGTTTACCCAAATCGATCCAAACGAACTGTATGATCGCATTTAACCGATGTTTCTTCCCAAACTACACAAACCTACATACTTCAGTTTACGGTCGTTTGCGTAGAATACCATTTACAAATTCTGACATTTTTCACCGATATGATCTTCAGGAAATTGGTTTAACGCTGAACATTTTGAGACATTAAATTAGACTCTCACCTTCGTTAAATAGGCCACTTGTCTTCTGTACCGAACGTGCGGAAGTGCTGGATTTCGTTAGCTTTCCTGGTAGAATCACCCTCGAGATCCAGCCAGTCAACTAACTCATCCAGCGTGTCGGGAATAAACTCAGAGCCGGTTGGGACAAACACCGAACTTTCCTCTCCCTGCATCGTTGCAATGGTGTCAGCCGACTTTAGAAACGTGTCCAGTTTGTTGAAGTCGTTGGTTGACGACGTTGATGTGTCGGAGAATAAACCGCTTTCCAGGATGAATAACCTGCGCGTAGCTGCCTTCTGTGGCGCTCTGGGGAGTTAAAAACACATGACATTTTATGATTATATAATAAAATGTGTCGAGAAAACTGTTATTGAAATTAATGGGATTTAAAACGTAGATTTATTCGTTATTTTTCAGCATACCTTCTGTCCTTCGGTCCCTGTCCCACCTCTTAGCTCAAATTCAATCTACTATGGAACTTCCCGACCGGCTTGCTGTCTTATGGTGCAATACCACGTCTAAATTTAGAAACTTACACATGGCACAGCCAATCAGAGAGCGAGGATTGGACATGTTCCGCTATTTTTAACCTAAATAATGACATCACTTTATATCCCATCATTCCCGGTGTTGTGTTTCTGCGTTTGTTTAGCTTCCGGTCCCTGCGTGAAAACCTGATTACCCAAACACAACCCAGATATAGACCACCTTATCAGATATCTAAGTGGAAACATTGCTGTTTAATACCTGTGAAACAGTGTATCAGAATACGCGCATCCGCCCACGTTGGGGTGTAACATTTCTGCGATTTCTGTCGTGTTTTCCAGGTATAAATAATGAATAATATTCCCCATTCAGAATTATTTGGATGTCGGTATATTTCATCATTCTTTCAAGGAAGGTGAATAGCCTTGATTTTTTTAGAAACAAATGGGGTCATACAGGAACACGGGACGAAATGGCGTTGTGCCAACTCAATAGCTACACAGAGTTGACATAGTTAGATAGGTCCATACACATCCACCTTGACAGGCTATTCAAAGCCAGTCAGGCTTCACATTCCAACCCTCGTCATCAAAGGGGCCGAACATTCAACTTACGTCATTGCACTAAAGTACCTTTGCTAATCACAGTGTTAGTAAATTTGTATAAAAAACAATTCTAAGTGAATTTATTCGTAAAGACATTAGATAATTATGGGACATGTTCATTTGACATAGAGAAATTACATCGCATTACAAATATCACTGATAAAAATAATCTTTTGACACGTTGAATTTTTTGTTTCTGTAAATTTAATTAATTCAAATATTTGTGTCAAATCTATTTGAAATTAGATGGAAATAATCGCCTATGTTATCAGTATCATTACGTTAAAATCCCATACCAGGTATATTTCCTGTCAACGGAATCTCAGTGTTTCATCACGCGCGACCTACATACATACACTTAACCCATTTCGTAGCCGGTGTGCCGTCTAACTACCCAGTCGTCACCACTCGCATCTTTCCGCGACCTTGTCCCGGAATGGAACGAATTGATCAGAATGTTCAACTACCATGTAAGGCAATCCGCGAAGCAAGGGTCGTGTGTGTGTCGCGTTTAACCGCTCGGTGTGTTATGACAACACTGGTACAAGTTAAATAAATATTTCCCCAATCTCGGGCTAAGCCTTGTATATGACCAAGCGATCGCACTACCGCTAACTACTGTATGTAACTTAACAAAAACCTGTACGAATAATTCTATATATCAGAGATTACATTACCAATATATATACATATAAACATACACCGGTGCTTCACTATACACGGTATTGCAGAGCCCCACACGTGTACACATGTAAAGATGGAGCCGGGCAGACAGCGAGAGACAGGCATTTAAATAAATTTGACAGACATGACATCTGTTGTTTTTATACACATAACATTTTTGGGTTTGAAAACTGTACTCTCTCTTATAAAACTATATGCTCTCTCTCTCTCGGTGTACGGATCTTTGCCCACAGGAACTTTGAAGAACAGGAATAATACAACATAATATTAATGATATGATATTATTTATTAAACTACAAAGGAATACCATATAATATAGCACGTTGACTGTTAAAAATAATATCATTGTTCATTGTAATACATTTAACCATTGTTTTTTTCGTTGCTGATAGTTGTTCATGGGCGATCCGGGGGGTGGGGTGTGTGTGTGTCAGGGGGTTCGACCCCCCTCCCCCTTTTGAAAATGACTTAAGACCACATTGAAGATGTTTTTTGTATTTACTGTATTACCCAAATTTACTAGTGTTGAAAATATGTGTTTCATCCGGCGGCCACAACGTTTGAAATCTACGTATCATCTGGCTGTCCGATTTACACACGTTTAAAGGGGTGTTAAAAGGTTTGTCATATATTTAGTACACGTGTAAATGGTTAGTAATGGGTAAATAGAGTGTTACACATCGGGTTCGTTAGCGCGTCCGACCGCGCCATAATGCACTGAGATCATTAGAAACACTTTGCCATATTCAACCTATTCCTTAGCCGACTTCCTAACAAAAGAAAACGCTTGTACATGCTATTTTTACAGAATGTTACAAACGTTGCGACAACGTTGACGCCATTATGTCACGTTTATTGTCATTTTTGTTATGTTAAGCCACATTACAACTGGGTATTACACTTTCTTCTGCTCGGTAGGTTATATCAATTTTAACCCGTGCATTATACTTACTGTATAGTCGAGGCTCTGGGATGTGTTACCAACTATCCCAACATCTGCAGTAGACGATGTCGTGTGTGTACAACCACGTTGTGTCGTGTCAGCTTGTATTTTACTGCATGCTATGTGACATTGCGTTTATATGTAGATCTCCAGCCCCCGGGAAGCTGACTTGAACAAACCCCAGACAGACACGTACATACAGAGACCATATACCGGAATATACTCTGTATACGACGGTACATAGCTTCTTGGAACTGCGAGAATATTCTGTGATGAAACACCGTATACAATAGCATGTGGCCATTGAAAGATTGGGGCGTGTTTATACTGTGCTTATCTGAGCATGCAGTCATTCATTCACAACGTGCGCTTAACCGCTGCGGAAGTAACCCGTTGTACGATGTAAACTTGAGTGGACGAGTTATCCTTAATCAGCGATTAACCTCTATGAAGACAGGAGTGATATCGATCAACCGCAGTGACGACCTATATAGGCACTTACTCGGCCGGCAGTGTGGATATGTACATAGCACGTCCGGAATCTAGACTAAATGTTTTTTGAAACACCTAATTTGGCTGTCATGTTTTGCTGTGTAGAAGACATTGAGTTACCATTGAGAGTTACAGAATTCATAGATCATATGGTGTGAGGTTTGTTTGTTTGTTTGTTAAAGTATACTAAAAAACAATGTAGCCATGTGACGGCTGCTTGTGAATCGTGTCTGGACCAGACAGACCCGTGATTGATATTAAGAACAACGATCCACGCTTTTTGGTTACGACACGTCATCATGCAACGGAGTCACTGAGTCTGACTCCCTGTCCGATCTTGTACACTTCTCGTTGGTTACTTCAGATCACATGGAACCCGTCATCCCAAGCGGGAGTACCGACGAAGATCGTGTGCATCTACTGACAATATGAAAACATTAACACATCAACTGGGGGCGGTTGGGTAGCCTAGTGGTTAAAGCGTTCGGTCGTCACGCCAAAGACCGGGTTCGATTCCCCACATGGGTATACAATTTGTGAAGCCCATGTCCGGTGTCCGCCGCCGTGATATTGCTGGAACATTGCTAAAAGCGGCGTAAAATCATACTCACTCAAATATCAACCTGTGAATTGTGAACATAAATCTTTCACGTTTCATGCCACTGCAGTCGGCAATATTCCATGCAGTTATATGGTGGCGGTCTGTGTACGTCTAGGGTGCCGTTGTACAAAGAGATCTTAGCGCTAAGGTGACCGTAACTTCCATACCATAACATATGCTTAAGGTAGTGTTAGCGCTAAGGTTGCTTTGAACAATAGCACCCTGGACCACAAGGGATTGAGCCCACGCCGTTTGGGTAAACGTGACACTCAATCATACAGGTCACCGATCCCAGGTCCGACCACCCCCAAGCAAGCAGTAGACTTCAGGGCCCCGTTTCACAAACAAATATACGCATTTACTTTCCTTCGCATTTTTTAAAAAGCGTGTGTAATTAGAGGCCATAATAAGGTTTCCTATTTTGTGTGGTCGGGATGCTATCGTAGCGCTACGACTGTCGTAAGTCTATGTTACGTTATAGAAGGTACGACAGTCGTAACGCTGCGATATCTTTGTGAAATGGAGCCAAGGGCCCCGATTTTAGCTCTCTTAGCACTAAGATCGTCGTAAGTGCCATACATTAACATTAACTTACGACTATCTCAGCGCTAAGAGAGCTTCGAAAATCGAGGCCCAGGACGCTGAACGCCGTTTTCTATACACCTGGAAATAAGTTAAGCATCCCGCGAGATAATGAGGTGAGGTGAGGTGAAATTGGGTTTTACGTCGTGCTTGAGAATATTTCGCTCATATGACGACGTGCATGCGTGTGTATGTGCGGCTGCTTGTACTAGCCCAGACTTAAGTTGGTTTTATAGTGCTAGCCCACTGAGATACCATGCCGCAGTGAAGCAGGAATACCCCACTCAGACACATTATACTGACTCCGAGCCGACCAGTCCTTGTTATATCCATTAATGCCGAGCGCCAGGCAGGGACCAACAAGTACCATATTTTATCGTCTTTTGGTATGACGCGGTTGGGGATCGAACCCGCGACCTTCCGCTCTCCGGGCGGACGCTCTAACCACTACACCACGGAGGCGGTCCCGCGAGATAATGAATGATAACATATTTTTATTATATTTTTATAATGATAACCATTACTTTTCAACTACAATGGCAATCATTATATAACAAGAATTAAGTTCCATCTTAAGGATGTGACTGTTGGAACATATGTTGTCCGGTGACGCCGGAACTCTCCGTGGCATGCACGTGCCGGCTGTCACGCGTGCATCCTCCAAAATGCTGTAAGCTGAGGGGTCAAGTTTACGTATGTAAATTCGTTGTCTTGCAGAAAAAAAGGTTACCAGGGAACCAAAGATGACAAATAATCAGAAGGCAGTCGACAGGGTTTAGTTTAAACCTGTCAGGCTGGAACTGGGCGAACGTTAAAAGGTATAGTAGGCCGATTGTTGCTCAGACCATTGCTGTGCAGGACATTCCACAGTCAAGACGAGCGTGAAGACCAAGCACTGCTTTCATTAATACTAGTATTTGCGGGGATGGACAGAAGTTATCCTATAGACGTCTATCCACGAGGACCTTGAGGAACCGCTTGAGCACAGCAGGAATTGTGTCATCATATGCTCCCAACAGATCACCTTCAGAGGCTCCGCTCGACATACTGTTTAGCCCGACGGTATCCAGTAGAAATCCATTGGTCGAGGGAAAGCAGAATCGTGCTTTATATCACGGGCAGAATTTCGGGGCCCAGGAACATG